TACAACGTGACACGAGTTTACTTTTTACCAGCTGTAAAAGGCAGTGAAGCAGCACAGAAAGAGCATGGTTTGTGCCTGACGTGGCTGTGCTGTCAGTTTGATTATTTCCCTCTTTCTGACACCGCGACTGAACCATTTATTGCAAGAGCACCGGCAGCACTTTCACGCTGCAGGCCAGTTTCAAAGGCTGCTGCTAGCCCAGCCCTCGCAAGCAAACTCTCTAGCCTTGTGTTTGAGGATGCTTGCCTTTGGCTTAGCTGGTCCACTTGCATCTGAGGGTCTTAATGCAGCTTAAAAGCAGCTCTGCTTTTGCTAATGATGTGGTGAGGAGATAACTGCTGGCACGCTACAGTCTGTCCTGTGGTGACTGCAGTAAGCGTTGCTGCAGTTGCCACAGCAGTATCTAACAAGGTATTTTCAGTCCATAGTGTAAGTAGCACTATATATAGATGGTGCAGCTAAGCATTAACTGTTAAAAAGATCTGCCATTGCTAAGTATACAAATGTTTATTAAAAAAAGAAAAAAAAGGAATTTCCTCCCCTCCTCTTAAGTATGAAATATTTTTTGCTGTTGGTGGGCTTTTTGGGGGGGGGTTGTTTGTTTGGGTTTTTTACAGTACAACTATGTATTTCTCACTCTTCTTAGGTGAGATGTCTTACACCATTGCTGTTTAGTTTTTAATCAAGCAAAAATTGTTTCTGCAAGTAGCTTCCATTGAGAAGCTACTAGAAGTGTAACTGTTGCTTGGCAAGTAGCACTCATTTCCTGGATGGACTTCAAACTCAAATGCATCTTCAACACGCTGTGAATGGTCTCTGGCTCTCCTCAGATGGGACGGGCACTAACAAGGGACAACATATCAATGCATAAATGCCATCATCATCTTATACCATTTGTGATGGAGAAGCTCACATGTTCAACGGAAAATGTTTCCCTTTGAACATTTCCTATATAAGTTGGCCACAGAAGAATAATGCTTTACAGTATATAGTTTGATATGTACCTAAGGAATTACACGAGATTATATTCTCTTACAAAAAATCACTTATGCAATATACATTAATGCATTTCTTCTTAAAAACCAAAATCATACAATCATGTGGATATCATGTTCCAGAAACAAGGGGACAGGGTCCCCATCTGAAGTCCAGTAAAGTCAGCTGAAATCTTTTGGCAATCTCCAGTAGGCTCTAACAAGCTTTGCAGTTTTAAGACCGGAGAAGCAGTAGAGGAAGGCAACGCAGGAGTCTATGTGAACTTTCTCATAAACCGGAGTTTTGCATAGGCAATGATAAGGAAGATAACAGTCATGCAGAAGAGAGCCACTATGTTTTCCCACATTGCCCAGTTGGTAGGGGCGATTCCTTGGCTGCACAGGTATGCTTCACCAGAACACCTGTAGAAAGCATGGGGCAGAAGTTGGTATTACTATGTGGTGCAAGCCTTCAGGTAGTTACTTTTATTCCTGTTCCACAAAGATTCTTCTACCCTCAACTCTGCCAAACACGTGACAGAAATAGAGTAACTTCATAACCTATCACTAAAAAAAGCTTAAGGGACAAATCTAGATCCTGGTTCTCATAACTTTTCAGTAGTATCCTAACTGTTGTTTATAAATAGCTGGCAATTTAGGAGTAAACCTCAGAAACACATTAAACCGTGATAAGTACAAAAACATTAGTTTCACACAGCAATCGTTGGAGGTCCATAGCAGGGGTTTGGGGTCCAAAAGCTGTGGAAACAGTGCTCTAGCACTGTTCCCTGCAATAACCTCAGTTTGCCAGCCCTTTAGCACATGTCATGAAATACTTGCATTGCTACAACTTAACCTGTCAATAGTCAGGAGTATTTCAAATGGGGCAGTAGCACTGGGAGATACATACCTTGGCTCTCTGCTGCATCTGCAGGGAGGTTAGTATTTACAAACAAGTTCTGAGGGGCAGGCATGTTTCTGATCACAGGTCTACTGCTTCCCAACAACTTTGTAGCTGTCCACACATTGCATTTCCATTGCTAATTGACCGTGGGTTTGTTTAAGAGAACTGATAAGCCAGGGTTAGGTTATCAAAAACAAAATTTAATTTAGCTCATCTGCCTATTTTTAGAAATAAAGTTTCATCCCTACTTCACTCTTGGGTAATTGTGAAGTTTTACTATATACTCCTAAAATACATTATTTTGGGACATATTATTGAGACTGGCCTGTGAGTGGTTATTCTGTGAATAATATAAAAATTTGAAACAGTCAGACTTCTCTTTAAGCAAGCCATTACAATTCAGGCCCAAGAACCACCATGAGTTAGACTTACATTTCTCCTGATATATCGGGCGGACAACTGTCTGCATCTCCCACCGATACTGTAACATTTGGATTCTTCTCACCACAGAAGTAGAGATCTCTGAACTCATTCACTTGAAGAGCCTAGGGAAAAAAAAAATCAGATTTTTAAAGAGTTAGTGATTTGGAGTGCTAAAACTGAAACACCTCAAAGGAACATGATTATTAGAAGATCACCATTCTTGGAATCTTATGTTTATGGTGCCTTTTTATTTTGAAGCTCTTAATCACTGCCTTTCTGAGGAACTGCTCCAAGTTCTACATGCAGGATGGTTCGGTGTCTGAGTCTTTGGCTTCAAAGTTACATTTCAGTGATTAAGCCATGGGTTTCTGTCTTGCCAGCTGCAAGTCCCTGTTCATCCACTTTTATCTGGGTCAATCTACTGACCCAGAAAACCATGTGGCTGCATGCAGACACCCCAGCACCAGCACACTGAAGCAGATGGCATAGTCAGCCAAGGCAAGAGGGGAAGGGTTCCCTTGCACTGGCATCTTGCGCTAACTGCAGTCTCAGGGGACACTTCCACGTTCAGTGATACCCAGACAGAGGAGGTCTCACACATCTGCCCCCCTCCCTGATCCTACCCTTCTCTTCCACTGCCTGTCAATATGGCTGTGCCCACACCACCCTGCAGCAGCTCCAGCATTCATTTCACTCATTTTAACTCAAAAGTAGGAAACTATTGCTCCCAAATAGGCTTGGCCAGGATGAAGACAGGAGATGGAAGCACAGCTCCCACCTGTGACCAGTGAGTGACCTGCTGTCTACTGTGTTGCCTTACTGTTACTGTGTTTCAAGCAGCTGCACTCTTAGCTTTCTGGTACCCCAGCTCCTTATTATTCAGAAATAGCAGTAAGTCCTATTTCACTTCAGAGGAAGCCACACTGAAGACTGAGACACTCAGGTTAAATCCTTTAACCAGTTAGACAGTCATTAACCTCTGACTGGCCACCCAAACAGCAGTCTCTGGAGAGGCCATAAAATATTTTACTTTATTCTAAACCATAGGGATCAACTATTCAGGCTAGGAATTAGTGCCTCACTGGACAGTTCACTCTGCTGCTGTCCAAGCAGCACTAATTTTGTGGCACAAAGGATTTTTTTGGTCTCTGAGACTTCCACCTCTCACAGAGAGATGAACTTTTGCTTTGTTTTTGGGGTTGGCTAGTTTGTTCTTCTTTTACCATGTTCATGCAAAGAAAGAAACCAAATCTGACTTTTAAGAGACCTTCATTTATACTCAAAACCTCTCCGGGAAGCAGCAGTGTAGCTACATTACTCACAGGAGACCGATGCTACTTTCTACTCACAGTGAGGCCATATCGGGGGATGCTCAGGTACTTGAGCCAGTTCAGCCAGCCCATTACAGAAGGGAGGTTTACTAAGAGGCCTGAAAAGATCTGAAATAGAACAAAAAAGACTAATGAGTCACAACCTCTGTTTACTGCAAACAATGCCATTCCTGCACAGATATTGCAGTTGCCCAGCAGAGGTGCACTGGCATAGATGAACCTGCTACTGCTGTTATGCCTCTGCCTACAGGCATAAGGTTCAAACCTTGCAGCAGTCCCAGCCAGCTGGCCCAACAGCACACCCAAGTACTCCAGCTGAACTGCTTGCAAAGGGGTCAGAAAGGTTTTCTACATCCACATGTGAGCTAAGAAGCATGCATGCTAACAACTTCGTACTCTGGAGGACTGTGTCCTATGGTAGAGCAAGCCAGAGGCTAAAGAAGGATGGATGACTGGGATTGAGGCAGGGAAGAAACAAGAAGGAAACCTTGGGGAGGCTTAAGGGCTGTTACGTTTCAGCTTTCTCCTCTGACCCACATCTTTTATCTGTGCTCTCTCCTGCCTGGAACAAGGTTTGCTCTTTTATTTCTTAGCACAATTGGACTTCATAGCAAAAAATGACGCTTCAGGCTGTGCTTCATCACAAGAGTTTTTGTGCTTACCCTGCTGTCTTTCAGGATGTGCATGTGCCATTCCTTATATACTGTGACTTAACTCAATATACATCAGCTGCCCTTCACTACACATGCACACTTCTTACCCACAGCAAGCATTTGAAGCGATACACTATCACTTAGCTTATTGCAAAAGCAGGTTCAGTTGCAAATCGAAGAATAAGGGATGCGCTGTTGGCTCAGAGTATGTACGCAGACAGCTTCCAGGAATCACCTGACAGAAGGTACTTTCCACTCTACGGTAACTTGATAGGCCTCACGGTCAAGAGGTTTCATCACTAACATTATCTCTTTGAAAAAGAATTCACATCCCTCATCTATGAGTCGCTAAAATTCCTTTCTCTCTCACTTGCTCTCTTCCTTAGAAGTCCTTGAAGAAGAGTATTGAAGTAATTTCTGAAACCCAAGGGCAATACTGAATTAAAATAAAGAGAGGGTATACTCCTGCTAATCCCACTGGGCAACAAAAACGAATGCAATAAAATAATCGATCTAAAGTTTCTTTCAAGACTTTTTCCTTTTAAATGATCTAGTTGATCACTTAGATTTCTAATACTGGAAATGCAAGATTTCCTTTTAAATCAATTTGGGTAAGGACAATTTAAAAAAAGAAAAAACAACACTTTTTTGGGGCACACTTTGCAAAGTTCTGGTGACATCACACCTACTGAATTGCACCTGAGCAATGATTTGATCTTTAGATTACAAGTTGGCAGAAGTACATCTTTGACTATAGTGACAATAAAATCACAGGCATGTGACTGTGTATTCTCAGCCTGCTTAGCGCTGGCTCAACCCAGTCCTCTCAGCCTGTCTCAGCTGCTTCTTCACCTCCACCAAAAGAGCACACACACCCTTATATACTTACAAGCATCAGGACAAAACAAATCGTGATGAGAAGATTGGCCACAGCCACCACATCCATCCCAGCACTGATGGCCAGAGACATGGCTGTGGCAGTGTAGGACACCAGTACCAGGGTCAGCATGAAGAAGAAGAACCGGCCTGCAACAGATTGGTATCCTGTCAAAAAACAGAAACGAAAGAGACCAGTAAACAACCACATTATGAATCCCAGAGCAGTACCCTTGGACTCCTACACAAGACAGGGGAAGCAGGAAGAAAGACCGAATTTGGAGTTGGCAGGAACTATGCATGCTCCAAAGGCCCAAGAAGCATTACTGAAAGATGTGGTCAAGCAGGTCCCTGTCTTAGATTTCTGGTGTCTCTGCCCCTGCCCCAGAGTCCTACGAAGTTATGATGCCAAGCACTTAAATCAGTTGAAGGTTCAACTAGTTTCACGTTAAAGATATAGGAATTAAACTGGCTAAGTCAGAAATCAAATGTGTTGGAAGATGACAGGTTCAACGAAAGCATCAATTCTTTACCAATCATCCAGTAACTGATGCATGAGAATATGATGGCTGGAGCAGTTCTCATGGGCAGCAGATCTCCTATCATCAAGGCCAGGAAGTAGGCAGACACACGGTAATATCCACTGGTGTACTGATGGCTGCGAGGACAGGAAGGAGGGCAGTTGTACAGGTGTAGAGGTTATCTAGGAAGCAGGCTCAGCATGCGTGCCTGGTTTATCCTGATTCAGTTTCTGTTCTCTCTACCACTGACTCCTTGTTGCTTATTTTCTCTGTGCTATCACTTCCCACCCTGTAAAGTAAGGGCTGATCTATCTCACAGGCCCTGCCATCATACTGAGAGCCCTCCGAGGAAAGTGAATGAAAGGATGTGTGACTGCTAAGTAACTTATTGGAAAAAAGCTCCTAAATCTCTTTTCAAAGAGAATGATCCTTAACACAAGAGCATGGGAAAGTATTAGACTGCTATTAACTGGAGCAACACTTCATCCACAGCTAACTCATACAGCTGCTTCCAGGGGAGAAGGAATGATACCCAACAAGGGGGGAACACCTTTAAGACATCAACTTACCTCCAGCTCACAGGGCAATTAAATGTCATTATGATTGTTTTGCTGCTTAATGGAGCTCATGAAAAGATGCTTTAGTTGGTGAGGTGCCAAAATCCCCACTGACAGAGCTGGTAAGCTAAGCTGGTAAGCAGGGCAGACTGGCAAGAAATGCCAAGTGTGGGAGAGATTCATTCCTGAGCAGCTGTTAGGAGCAATATTAAGCTGCTCTGAGCAACCTGTGGGTGGACATGTGCATTCCAGGCACAAATCTCCAATTTCTTCTTTACTGCATAGGATCTGTCTCTTGCCCTTTCATCCCATGAGTTGGAGGCTATTCCAAACTGTATTTTCCACATATATGTATATATACATGTGTGTATATAATATATACATGCATTTACATACATCTACACCCATACAAACACATATACATATATATATATACACACAGACAGAGAGATGCGCTTGATTATTAGGGAGCTCTTGTAAGCCAGCCAGCAGCCCTCTTCATCTGAGCATCCCTTGTGAAGCTTTTCCAAGAACTCTCTCTTCATCTTTGCACAGTCTTACCACTTTAGGATCAACACAAGACAGCATTTCAACCCTGTCAGCAAGAGGGCAGTCAGGGTTCACAGTCTGCAGGATTCACATACAGACTTCAAAAACAGCTATTGCCAAAAGTGGGTAGGAAAAGCACTTCTCAAGCTGTGACACAGCAAGCAAGTAAAAGCATTTTATTTCTCCCCTCCTTCCCCTACCTCTTAGCATTTCAGCTTCCTGCTCCACAGACCAATTTTGCACTACTATTACAATCTGATGTTGCAAGGGAGCAATCAAGTCTTTGGTGGAAATAATTTTGTTTAGCCTGTAAGATACTCCCCCCACCTCACTCCAGGGTATGAGACAGTTTAAGCGCCTCACTACTTACACAAATAGTTTCTTGTCTCTGATAAACAGCTCAATTGCAGAGACACTGGAAAAACACTGGTTTGTGGTGACAAAAAACAAGGATCCAACCCTAGAAGGCAAAACAGAACAGTCAAAAAGTGAGGAAACAGCCTAGATCAACACTGGCAGCCTCAGACATCAACATACCATCAAGTCAGTGCTTTTTTGACTCTGTCCACAGAACGGAGATATTTAATTGTGCTACTGCAGATCTTAGCTGTAAAACCAGGCTTATTCCTTTATCTTCCCTTTCACATCTCCTTTGTACATATGTGCGAGCCTGAGGGAACTGCAGTCCCTTTAGGACCTCCTGCAATACCATGCCGCAGTGCATTGAGGCTTGTGAACCCAACCCTCCTTTGTGGTCCAACTGGATCCCAAGGACTTCCCTGTGGCTGAAACCTGTCTGCTTACAGATAGAAAAATGAGCAAAGCTGTGGCCTTCCAACTTACCGATTCTGAATGCCACTTCGATCCAATTTTACACCAAAAAAGATAGCACCCACAACCAAGGCTAGAATTACGGTCACTGCAATCTAGAAGTGGAAAGAAGAAAGGGACAAGGGAGTCCTTCAGATAAGTAAATAGGGACAAACTTATTATTAAGGCATACGCAGGGTTTAAGATTCACACCTGCCTAAAACTTTGCTGTTGTGAGTCAATGTATACCTATGACACACACAATTAACAGCCTTATGGCAGATTTTCCAAGTTTATCCTCTTCATTTTTCTCCTTCCTCTGATCTTTGGCTGGGAAAGGTTAGTAGAAGCACACTCAAAGAATAACCCAACTTAAAATTTCAAGTGAGGCACAAAATTAACATCACCCTAGAAGCTCCCCAGTGAACCAGAGAATGGAGCATTCCCCCCCACTCCCCAATCGTCAGTGCAGTAGTCCTTGTGCTAAACTAAAATGGAGATTTTTTTCAAAGGCAACAAAGGTAGCTGGGCATCTCACTCCACTTAAATGGCAGTGGCACAGGACTTTCCTGTTTCCCTAGCTGCCTTTGAAAACAAAAGTCTGCCTTACAAACTGCAGATTGCAGGACTGAGAGCAGAGGGATTCTGATACTTTTAGCAATCGTTACTTACTTGTGCAACGGAGGCCTGTGGGTTCCTCATGAGGTTTTTCAGGGAACGCTTGGACACCCAGTACAGCTGGGTGAGGAATCCATTTGCATAGGTAATCTCATGCCCTTGCTTGGATACTCTCTGCTTGCTTCCCCGTCCAAGCTCCACTTTCCCCAGTGCTTCCTTTGTGCTCTGATACAGGCTGGAGTTGAGATACTTCTGGTGCAGCACATCTACCACACTGCTGTCCACGTTATCTTCTGCCACTCCATTTTCACTGCTCACCTCTGAATAAGAAAGATATGGCTTGTGATTCCCCATGAACCTCTACCTTCAGACACGGCCCATGCTCAGCCACTTTGGAGGCTGAA